CTATTCTGATTCCCCAAATGCTAAAATTTCCCTTGGGGAGACGATGAGGGCATTGGTACCTTCTGGTTTATGCTGTTTGATGAACGCGCGAGCACTGGTGTATTAGCTTGAGTTTTCGGACTTGTAAAGGGGCCTGCGTGGGTGGAACAACAAGTGCACCGTGCTGCAGTCAAACGATAAGGCGGGGGGCTATTGTCCGTCACTGGGGGGGGGGTTCACGCCGCCTACCTCGCTGTGGTCATTCAGTGTGGGGTGGTGTGGGTCCATGGCCGAAAGTGGGCCGCGATGACTGGTCGTGTGGGCGTAGCGTATGATAGCAGGGGGGGGGGTAGATCCACGTGTCAGTTGATGTATTTGGTCTCAGACACCCACGCATCCAGCAGTTCCCGTCCAGCGTACCAAAATCATGCAGAGGCAGAACCAACTGGACGCAGGTGAGTAATCGGGCGCAGTTTATCAAATCTCATGCTATGACTGCCTCCGCTATTATACAGGTCAGACTCAGTTCACGAATATTGGAGCAAAACGGGCCGTCCGATGAGGTGACCCAGTCTCAAATTGCTGCTCACACGATGGAGGAAGGCTGCGAGTTAGAATTTGCGAGCACGCAGTTACTGGTGTGGACCGGCAATAAGATAGGATGGGAACCAATGGAGGCATGGGCGTCCGGCACCAAGTTCATCAACAAACTGGTTGTTCTACTCCCCCTCCTATCACGCGCTACGCCCACGCGGCCCACGTCTCGGGCACACCGCCCCCAAGCCTTGAGACCACGGAGAGTTAGGAGGCGTGAATCCGGCTCGGTCACAGACAGTACCCCCGCCCCCTTATAGTTTGAGTGCAACACTGTTCGCTTGTTGTTGCACCCACGCAGCCTCTGATGATGGGTCATAGGAAGTCAATTCACGTACAGTAGGTCGGCTAACTCATGAAACGTCGGTCGAAATTTCGAAATGCGTTCTCGTTTCGAAAAGATTAATTAAGTAGGGTTGTAAAACAAAGCACCCTGCAGCATAATTCTATAATGCTTCAGTTACCTCAGGATACCGGCTTTCGAGTGAACTTCTTTCCAGCTGCATGCAAGAACTATACTCTGCAAAAAATGACTACTTAAGTAGCATGCATTTTTCTCATTGATTTACAATGCCCTTAAAAGTTGAATTATATTTCATGAAAATGATGCATAAAAATATTCATTCTTTTACTTATTCGGTAGAAAATTACGTCTTCTTCCAATTTTATCCTTGAAAGAAGGGCATAATTCGGTTTCAAAAAAGTTTCTAATTGTGAGATTTTTTAATACCCTGGACTTATGTTCCTGAATTTCCAAGCAGTTGGCCATCATGCTATTTCACACTGCTAAAGATTGCTGTCTCAGAGTTCGTGGAAAACGCGCGGCAAAGATCGACTGACAAAGGGCCAAATGCTGTCCTAGCATTGGGTGGTATTCGCCATGCTGATAGACGCCTACCGTGATGAAAGCTCCGGGATCCGCATCCCTTACAGGACGGACGGCCACCTCCTCAGCCATGGGTGGATGCACTTGCAGTCGCGTGTATCCACAACCAAGGTCCACGGACGACTGCGCCCTCAACACCACCTTGGAAGGGAACATGCAAAGCAGCATGGATCTCTTCTCCGCCGCCTGCGAGAACTTCGGTCTGATCATCGACGCGGAGAAGACGGTTGTCGTGCACCAACCGCCTTCCAACACAGCCCACAATGCGCCGCAAATCAGCGTGAACGGAACTCGACTGCAAGTGGTGGAAATCTTCACGTATCTGGGCAGCACCCTATCCCGCAGCACCAAAATTGACAACGAAGTGGCCCACCGGACTTCGAAAGCCAGCCAAGTCTTCGGTCGTCATCAAAGCACAGTTTTGAATCGTCACGGTCTTCAGCTCAGCACGAAATTTAAGATGTATAAGGCCGTCATCCTGTCGACGTTGCTGTTTGGACCAGAGAGTTGGACGGTGTACATGAAGCAGGCACGCCGACTCAACCACTTCCACCTCAGTTGTCTTCGTCGCATCCTGAGGCTGAAGTGGCAGGATCGAATCCCCGACACTGATGTGCTGGAGCGGACGGGAATCCTCAGCATCTACGCCGTGCTGAGACAACTGCAATTACGTTGGAGCGGCCGCCTCGTGCGGATGGACAACGAGCGGCCACCCAAACGACTCTTCTACGGAGACGACGCCAGGGATTCCCGCCGCCAAGGAGGCCAAATTCCTCGATACAAGGACACACTGAGGACTTCCCTGAAGCGTCTGCTGATCAACCCGGCCAAATTAGAAGGTCTCGCGCGAGAACGACCGACCGAACCACTACTTCCATCCTCCCCTCTCTCCTCCTCCTACTCCTCCTCCTCCTCCTCCTCCTCCTCCTTCTCCTCCTCCTTCTCCTCCTCCCCCAGTGCCTCAATGTCCGCCGTTGTGGCGTCTGCCATGCACATCAACACTACTCACAATCCTGACGCAGCAACAAACACCAACAGCACCACCGTAGACACCAGTGATAAGGACCTGATCTACACCTGTCCTCATTGCGACTGCACCTTCACCCCACACATCGGTCTGGTCGGTCACTTGCGAATCCGTCTTACAGAGACTGGCGAACCAGTGCCTGGAGCACCAACCCACATCCACCGCACCCTCTTCCACTATCCACACTGCCTTCGCAATTCCATGCATCGTATGGGCCTATTCGTTCACATGTGTATCTACGGGAGCGGAAATGACCGCAGTTCTGACACTTCACACACACCCACCATGCCTAACTCCCCCTCACTCCGTCGCCCTGTGCGCCCCCCGCCACCAGCTCCATGCACACCCTCCACCCTCAGCCCCACCCACACCTTGTCGCTTAGTTCGCCCATCACCACAACCGTCTCCAGAGCTGGCACTGACTTCACCGACTTCTCGAGTCCACACTGTCCCCGCACACTCACCTCACGCATCGGTCACTTGCGAATCCATCGGACAGAGACTGGCGAACCAGAAGCACCAACCCGCACCCGCCGCATCCCTCTCCACTGTCCAAACTGCTCTCGCAGATTCCTGCACCGCATGGGCCTATTCGGCCACATGCGCATCCACGAAAACCTGCGGCAGACAACCGCCGGCCGCAAAACATCATCACATTCTCCACCAGCACCATCTCCTCGCGCATCAGCACCCCCCACTACAGGCACCCACTTGTCACCTCCCACGCGAGTGGGAAGTATGGGTCTCGACTCGGTCTCCATGCGACCCCTGCTGCATGAGTGATTCGAGCCTGAGACTATCCGGACGCATCAAGCGCCGCCCCAGCTCAGTTCACGCAGTCCGTCCAGTCGGGTGTGTGTTTGTGTCGAGTGGCGGACTGGTGGGCTGAGAGCTGGGCTGAAACATCCCCTTCCGCGGCACTCTCACGCATGTGAGAGATACGCAGTTCAACCCCCGCTGTTTGAAATCCTGGTGTGCGTGTGTGTCTGGGGGGCCAGGTCGTGCATGTGGCGCGCGCAGACAAGGTCACTGGACCATGTCAGCCACCGCGCCCATTCCCCGCACCTGCCAACTGGCCGGCTGAGACATCTAGGGAAGACGTCCTCATCGGGGCACCGCCGATGGACGGCCGTAGCTTTGCAAACGTCTCCCATCCAGGCAGTGAGCGAAAGGCTGCGTGCCCAAGAAGCCAAAATCAAATTTCTTGTATAGCGACCAGCGAGCAGTCCGCCCGACAATGAGAGGACGGCCAACAAACATGCTGATATTGTGGCAACTGCAACGTTTGTGGAAGCAACAAGGCCTTATAGCTGTCCTCTTCAGTCCACGCATGCGCGCGACTCAACCTCCGGCTTCCGGCGCCGTGGCGCCCATCAATAGCTCTCTCTTCACTGATTGGCCGTAGTCGGACGAAGCTCGGGCGCATGAGTTTGGATTGAAAATGAAGGCCTGGTGAGAGCGTTTGCGGTGGCTCCTTGTTGGGCTTCCTGTAAGGTTTTTCCAACCCACCCAATCTTCTCTGACGCGTGGTTTGGGACTCCCCGATTGCCCACCATCTTTGCTTCGACGGTCTCACGAAAATCTGGCTATTGAGAGGTCAGAGTCAGGGAGGCCCAGGTTAGTGCGTCGGTCGGGTTACATCACACAGGAGACGGTCAAAACAGCTTGTTTAACGTCATTCAACGTCGCCTTGGAGATGCCCGATCACACCAGATTGAACGACAGACCGCAGCTAAACCGTACAACATGGAACCACCCCGCTGACTGGGGAAAGCCATGTCAAAAGGATTTGGTCAGCCTCCGCTGTCTTTGGTAGCAAAGTATCTCAATTCTTTGTGACGGTGTTGGGCGACTATGGATGAGAGGTATTTATCAAAGAGTATTTAACTAAGAACAGCCTGTCATCACCGCCCTGAATAGTTAATGTTTTTTTACGTTTGTTACTTAATTTGTGGGAGTAGTTTGAAATAATTAGATTTAATGTTCGGACGGATAGACCCGAGGGAAGGATGACAAATTCCGGAAGCAAACTCTCCATTCCGCCAGCCCGCAAAACATGAAGCCCAACGCGCTAAAAAGCACCTTATTTATCTGAATCCTAACGGTTCTACAACATCCTGGACTCTGGTTTGCTGGTCGTAGATTGGCTGTTTCTT